CTTCAGCTCACGGCCAATTTGGGACACTACCCAACCAAAGACGACAACATTAGCTACGCGCATCGCCTGAAATGCACGCAGTCTTCGGGACGCTTCATTCATTATAAGGCATGCAACTACTCCCATCTCAGAAACGTGAGCAAGCCCTTCAGTGTGCCGCTGACATTATAAAGCCAGAGACCAGTGATGCAAATGTACGCAAATGCGTGGGCTCAGAGTCACCCGGCGCCTGGAGGCAGAAAACAATCGCAAAGTTTATTAAGTCTCTTTCACGGTGAAGATTTTTGTAATATAAACACTATATAATGAAAGTACAAGACAGATGTAATAAACATCTTTCTTAGTTTGACCTTCAAAATCTTCAAAAGACTTTCTTAAAGTTTTTATAATTTATTTTTCCTCCGTATACCTTTCATACACCAGATAGATGGTCCCTCTGTGTCACCTTTATCAAGCATTATGCAGTATATAACAGACTGACTGATGTTACCAAAATTTATTGCTAAACTATTCCTCTGCTTTTGTGTGTCTCCTTCCACATTAACTCGACAGTATATGAGGAGAAGCGAGATAACTTGTCTACGGAAAGCAGTGAAAGATAAAGATGGCAAGTAAGTTAGTCATCTTGTTCTCAATCCCATATGCTGGCAAAATTGAGCAAGAACAAACAAACAAGCAAAACCTGAAAACTAGTTATAATCAAATTGTGCTTTCCAAAATTCAAGTAAAGTGTCAAGCGATCAGACATATTTAGTTCCCCAATTTTCTTAAAAGCCAAAAGTTTTAGGCTTTTTTTTTTTTTTTTTTTTAATGTATTTGGTACAGGGTCTACAGGATAATCCTGTTTTCAGCCTCCCAAGCACTGGGATTACAGGTACATGCCACCACGCCCAGTCTCAATCGTGCCCCGGGGGTGGGGCTGGCATGGCACACTGGGGATTGAACCCCAACCACTGTGCTCTGCCTAAGCAGGCACATTAGTTTGCTGATCTATATGGCCAGCCCAAAAAGCTTTAGGCTTTAAATGGAATATTTAAAAAAAAATTTTTTTTTTAATTAGTACAGGGTCTCACTACACAGCTCAGACTCCTAGTGATCCTCCAGTTTTCAGCCTCCCCAGCACTGGGATTATAGGCTCACACCATGTCGCCCAGACTCAGTTGCTGGCTCAGTGTGCCTGAGGGCAGGGCCAGTGCAGTATGCAGTCTCAGGTATTGAACCTTGGACTTGCACGTGAGCTATCTTGCCAGCCCTAGGCTTTGAATGACAGGCTAACCAGAACTCGAAGTACTCAGTTCCAACCCTAAGTAGTGATGGTTCCCACCAGGCAGTTGGTTGGCAAAGGTTGGGAGCTAGGGCAGGGGGTGGGATTCCAGTTGAACCATCTACCGGCTGTGGTCGGGGCCAGATCTGTGCCTGGGGCTCACTGTGCTTCACTGTGTGTAGAGAGGTCTTTCTCTTCATGGAACTGTATTCAGGGTGTGAGGTGACACCCCCAAAACATCCAACATAGGGCTCTGCTTTTGGGGGTGCTAAGCTTTATACCCCAAATGGGACTGTCCTAGGAGAGCTGACCCACAAGGGGAGCCTGAGCTTGCGGACTACATATTTGTTGCCTACCCATATTGTCACATGAAAGCCCTCTTCCTCAGCCTGACCGTAGTCTCTAAGGAAGCAACTAATGCTCAACGAGATGGTAAGCATGGTGACCTTCCAGAGAAGCACACAATAAGAAGACGCCATGCTGGGAGCCAAGAAGGCAGCCCTCACCCAAAACAACCCCGCTTTCAACTTGATCTTAGGCCTCCAGCCTCCAGAACTGTGAGAAAACAAATGGCTCTTTTTGAAACAGCATCCAATCTGTGCTAATTGGTTACTGCAGCCCACACAGACAAAGACTGAGTGACCAAAGGTGAGAAACCACTTCCTCTCTGAGAATCGGCTTACTCTGCGTATGGGGAGGTGAGGTAACTCACAAATCCCCAGATAGCATGGGCATCCAGGAATCTTAGGATGGAAGAAGAACGGCTTGCAGCGCTGCAGCTTTTCCCCGACTAGTTACTACCCCATTCAGCTCCCTCTCAGGAAATCTTGCCTATTTGCCAATTAGAGCTCTAATCCTGTTTGTGCATCCCCCCTCTCTGTGGCCTGGGCCCTATTCACTCGAGAGTCATTCATTAGGGATCAGAGGACTGGGGACACTGAGTCCAACATCATTAGTACTAATTGAAGCGTGGATTCTTAATCCAGTGCAGAAGGCTGGCCTTTTTCAGCTTGGCGTCAGGCACTGCAGCAGACAAAAGGGCCTTTTGTGGTCCAGGCGCCATAGTTGACAAAAAGCGTCCATCTACTGATGGGAATGAAGCTGAGCTCAGGGCTGTGCATGGGGGACAGGGAGGGTGCAGCTGCTCGGGGTCGCTCCCTAGGGTCCCTGCCCCAGCATCTACCCAAGTCTCTGCCCTTTCCACAGCGATTCTTCCCCTGAAATTACCTGGAAATTGGGGTTGGGGTTGGGATACGGCAGCCAGGCTGAGCGCGAGTTCTCCTGGAACTTGAAGGGCCCGTTGAAGGCCTGCGAGATGGAACTCAGATTGAAGACACACACAGCAGAGGCAGCGACACTGTTCCTGCAAGGCCGAGGAAGAGAAAGAGGGGAGAAGGTTGGTCACAGAGCCCAGAAGGGAGCATCAGCCACTGGCCAACAGTGGTGACCCCAGAGCAGCTTCTAGACACCTGAAGATCTCGGTCTGTCACACGTGCTCCTGGGGGACGATGCCAGACTGCGATGAGGCCCACCTGTGAATTCTTGTACAGACATAAATACCTAAGTATCAAGACCAGGGAAGCTGGCATTTAGAACTCTTTAATGCTGCCAGGAGCGTTGATTCACTCCACCACAGGGGTCAGCAAGCCCCTGCATGGAGCTGTACCCTCGCCTTTTAAATCCTGGAGGAAAGACTTTCTTCTCTAGTGGACAGAGCCCTCGTCCTTCTTCTGTGGCCCTCCCCACCCTGATCTGGTTACTCAGCTGGAAGTGGGTCAAGCTTTTTGTCTTCTTAAATCTCCAGATATTTACATTCATTCGTTATCCTTCAAAAAATAATCAACTTAGAGTATTTTGCAAAGCATGCCCATCAGACCCTTCATAGATATTTTTTAATTTAAAGAGGATTGTAAATACAAGGGGTCAAATCCTTGACGGGAAATCTTGAGGTTTTAATTTAGAATTCAAGCTTTGCAGATAAAGCTGTTAAGTGGGAGGCTTTGGAAGGTCACTACCCTTCAACTCACAAGGGAAACAGCAAAATATTTTGGGTCAAATTTGCATTTTAACTTCAGCTGTGGTTCTAAAGGGAAAATGCAGAAAAAGAATATGTATGTATTTTCCATAATAATGTTCTGAGACAATAAATATTCCATGTCATATCCATGATTTTTCTTCCATTGGAGGAAAACCACAGAGACCTTGGCATTGTGATATTTAGCCACGTTTGTTTGGTAATGAATAGGTATGAGCCACTGTCCCAGGGGCTTCCATAATTCTGGTCCAGGTATCCTTCACCATCATGGATAAAGAAATGATACAGGCTCCATAGACCCAATTGGGGACAAGTGTCTGGACCCAATTTAGGGAGCAGCACTGGAACCCCATGGAGGGCACCTAGGACGATGTGCTTCATTTTTTGTGAGAGATGAGTGAAAAGCAGATGGTATTTAAAAACTGCAAGCCTTTATATTGAAGTGGATGCCACTTGAACATATACTTATAAGTGAAATAAACCAGACACACATGTGTAAATATCGTATAGTCTCCCTAGTGTAAGAACTCAAAAGAAGAAATACAAATAGAAAGCTATAATACTAGTTAAAGGAAAGCAGGATCTCAAGGACTAACTAATCAAGAGAGGGAAAGGAGAAGAGCTAGGAAACATGACAATGTCAAG